AGTTCGAGACCAGCCTGGGCTACAAAGTGAGCTCAAGGCCAGCCTGAACTGCACACAGAGACTCTAACAAATAACAAATAAGTAAATAAAAATAAAGTGATTATTTCCCAGGAGAAAACTGCTCCTGTTGTTTATTTTGAATTCTACACATTTTCTGTATTTGAATATACTACTTTACTTTGTTTTCCACTTGCTGGGTCTTAAAGATCCTTCCACATCTGCAGAGGTGGAACAAACCTCCTTTTTTAAAAGGCTGTATAACACCCCAGGGTATAGCTATCACACAGGCAGACGCTTCTCTGCCTGATACACATCTACATTCTCTCCAGTTTTCTCTTGCATTTAACAGAGTGGTTAACATTGTTCTGTATAGATCTCTGAGCCTTTACGTAACTATTCTGTTAAGTAAAAATGCTGTAAGTAAAGCTGCAGGATCAAAGAATATAAATAATGAAACTCTGGATAATTACTGGCTAATTATCTTCCAAAGAGACCGCAACATCAGTACAATTACGCAAATCCCTGTAAATGTTATAAAATGTTGTCTTTATCAGTATATGTGAAGACTTTATCTATGAGTCAATCTGAGAGCACTGCAGATCTTTTCACCAATTATATTTGTTTTTCAGTGACCCAATTTGTTCGTTTTCTATTGAATGAGCACTCTCCCTAGAGAGTTCTCCATCTGCCCATTTTCTACCCAATCATTGTCTTTTTCTTATCAACTTATCTTTTACTATTTTATCATGTTTTGCAAGTGCTTAGTCAAAGTTTGCCACTTTTTTGACTTTTAAAATCCTTTGGCATCTTAGCATTTTATATTTTATGTTTCAAACAGTAACCTTTTCCTTTATATATTCCAACTTTTAAATGATTTATATTTTTAGCTGATTGCTCAAAAGTGCAAAAGAAAAGAGGAAGGAAAAAACGTCTCCCCAGAAGCACTGCTGTACTGGTAATCTGACTTTAATTTTCTTATAGTTTTACATTTCTTCACACAGAATATTTTTGTGTGTGGGTGGGGATACTGGGGGTTAAACCCAAGGCCTTCACACTAAGCTATTTCCCTAGCCCTTTAATTTTTTGAGACAGGGTCTCACTAAGTTGTCCAGGCTGGGCTTGAATCCTCCTTCCTCAGCCTCCCAGCATGTTGGGATTACAGGCGTGCACCACCACACCTGGCTCAGAGTCCTTACTTAAACATTCTGAATTTCAGGATACATGTACTTTCCAAATCACTGGGATAGATAACCTTCATTTGTGTCCTCTGTCCACACTGAGACTGCTCCTAAAGATGACCTTTTGGAAGAGTCCCATAGTCCCATAGTCAGGAAGCACTTAGATAATTCCTAGATGACATAACCAAAATGAGAGGAATAGTAGCTGGAAGTTTACATTATTCCCACAGCTTCCACAAAGTATCCTCTGGCACCCAGTTAGAGCATTTGTCCCCGCAGGGTACTTACCGTCCTAAAATGGGCTGAGGGTGCAGGTGAGCGTGGTTAAATAGCCCAGTGTTTCCCAGCGGCATGACTTGCCACTGACCTAGTACTATATGTAACTGTCATGACTTTCTGAATTACATGTATACAGTGTATGAAAACATTTGGGGGGATTTGAAGCAGGATTTGTATCAGCTCATATAAGCTAATATGAGCCATCAATCTCTACCTCTGCTGTTTATTCAAGAGATGTTTCTTGAGCCAGACGCGGTGCACGCCTATTAACTCCAGCAATGAGGGGGCGCGGTGCGCAGGAGGATCACTTGAACAGAGGAGTTCAAGGCCAGGCTGGGCATCATACGGAGATACTCTCTCAAACAAAAACAACAAAAAACCCATGAACAATTAAAGGTATTTCTCAAATACCTCTTGATGTTTTGTTATATAAAACATATGCACAAGAATATAAGGCATGCTTTTTACCTTGGCATATCATTTAATTATACACAAAAAAGCTTGGCTTTTATTTTATGTAATATTAAATCCCACCACTAATGTATGAGGTAATCTTAATTTTTCTCTCGCAGCCCAATGAGACAGTGCTGGTGGACAGAGCTGAAAGACAAGTGAAGGATGAGCCTGGCAGTCACACAGGTTTGGTCTCAGTGATGGGTACAACAGGGCCTTATAAAAATGTTATAGGGGCGGGGGATATAGCTCAGCCTGCCTGGCAAGTGCGAGGTCATGAGTTCGATTCCCGATAACGCAAAGAAAAAGAAAAAAAAAATGTTAAAAACGTTGACCCATGTATTTAGAAGTTGGTATCACATGTTAATCTTCTAGACTAGTAGTAGGAAGAGTACAAGTATCCACTCTATCAGAACCCCACCACAACAAAATAACTTGGGTTGGAATGGTCCTTTGCTTCTCAATTTGAAGATACACCTCTTGACAAGCAGCAGCTAGGCTTGCCCAAGCTCAGAATTCAGTGATGTGCTACCACCCCTCACACTGTGACAGGTGTAGCTTTCTGTTCTTTAAGGAAATAGACATTCAATAACAACACAAACTGACCAAAAAATGACAGGTACTTAGGGATTGAAGATATATTTTAGAAAACTGTAATAATTCATAAAGTTATTGTAAGCAAAGTTTTAGTTTCACTTTTTGTAACATTTCATTTGCAGTCTCAACTAGAAAAAAATACGGTATGATGAAACTACAATTAACAGAAAAGACAAAGTTCTGGTGTGTGTTATTACTAATTATGGTCAACTACCACAATGCAGAATCTAAAGAAGTAACAATAAAGTGATATGATTAGCTACTCTAAGCCCATTTCCTTCTAAAAATGTTTTCTTTATTCTTAGATACAATCATGAAGGTTTCTTTTCTTAAAAAATGCAAGAAGGCAGGACTTCTTAATGACTTATTTGAAAATATATTAGATGAACTTCACTTGATGCAACAAAAACTTTTGGATGATACTACTTCAGAATCAGGTACTGAAATAGCTGTATTTCTAAGCACAGAAGCTTCTTACAGACTTACATGTAGATCAGACTGACCAAAACAAATTTCTTTTCATGCTTTTTTCTTTTCCTTCCTTCTCTCATTCCTTTTAACAACAATCATTGTACCAAGTCTACCATTACACATCAACAGGATGTAGATAATTCAGTAGTTTAGTCACAGGTACCCTGACGTGAAGTTTTAGGACGAGTTTCTGAGGTGTGCAGTTGAATGGTCATGTTCAGAGCTGCTCTGGTCGCACAACTGCTCCCTATCCCGCTGCACATTTGTTGCTAAGATCTGAGAACTATTAGATTACTATTAGGTTACAGTTTTGATGTGGCTCAAATTCTGTTCTGTAATAAACCAACTGTTCTTTTTTAATGATGTCAAAACTCAGAAGTAATTTTAATGTTTTAATCAATGATTTAGTTAAATATGAACTTTCTTAAAAGAGCTCTTTGGAAAGCTAAGCTTTTTCCATTTATGTAGATGTATACAGCAACTTACTAGCTTTAGGAATTTAAAAACTTTATAATGAATATAGTCATTTTACAAGTGAAAACTTGACAGTGTCTTGTAAAATCTATTCTTATTTGAAAGAGATTATATTCTATAGCCATGGTGGTGTACAACTGTAATTATAGCACTTGGGAAGCTAAGGCTGGAGGATTGTGAGTTCAAAGCCAGCCTCAGCTACACAGCAAGACTGTGTCTCCAACAACAAACTCCTGTTTGTACACACACACACACACACACACACACACACACACACACACAGCTGTTTCCCAGAGCTTCCGGCTCAGCAGAAATGCCAAGAGTTGACACTTCTAACATGTTCCCTACCAGGCCACTGCCACTGCAATCTACCACTAAATTTGTATAGCAGGTGACTCTATTTACTCTTCCCTATTCTGAGGTGTTTCTGTCTATATAAATTAAAATAAATACGAAAATGTTTCTCTCCTTAAAGCCTATGAAAAAATTGGGACTTCACTTTTTGACTGTGGATTGTTTGAAGACACATTTGCAAAATTTAATGCAGGTATGATTTATAATTAAGCACATAATTTAGAAGCAATTTAGAATGAAATAGTATGATGCTATAAAGATAATAAAAATCATTTTAGAAGAATATTCACTGTTTTATTAAATGGAAAAAGCCCATTACAAAACTATGGCACATATATACAGCAGAAAAAAATGTAACACACAGAAAAACCACATATAGTGGGAAGTTATTTGTAGGTGGTTGCATTGCAGTGATTTCTTTTGTCTGTTCTTTTAGTTCTATATTTTGCAAATATCTTACATACATATAAATACTTTTATAGCCATAAATAAAACTCAGAAAACAAGAGACAAAAAATTAATTCTAGAATTGGAGGGTATGTTGTCCTGTGCAGGCACAGGCTGGAGCTGGTGAGCTCCTGCAGCCTCCGCCCTCTCTGCAGGGGCGAGGCTGTGAAAACGGCCCTGTAGCTCCTTCGCCCTCGCTCACACACAAAAAGGGCAGTCTCAGTTCTCCCAACACTGATCTGCAAATCTAATCCCATGGGGGGCGGGGTGCACTGTGACTAATTCTGAAGTCCACCAAGAAAAAACAAGACATTTTTGTAGAAAAGAAATACTGATGTTTGGGTTGGGAGAGGTAGACTCAACAAACCTTCCAAAAAAAAACAACAATTTTTTGAGTCCTCTTTTCAGCCCTAAACCTGCAAGACAGCCTAAATTTCCATTTATTTATGGTTTTAATCCAGTCTCTACCACAGCTGCCCTACACGGGTGTACACTGCACCTGCCAGGTGGATATGGGTGCCGGATTTATAGAGAATTTCGTGTGAATGGCTCCCCGACAGTGCACACACAGTGCTCTACACTCTGTTCTTTCCCATGGTATTAGTACACAGGTTTTTCTTGTGAAGAAAACAGTATGTCATATCCTTGTCTCAACATACCATCCTCGTCATGTGGGTTTTTGGTTCATTTTTTTTTTTGAGACAGGGTCTCACTATGCAGTTCAGGCTGGCCTTGAGCTCAATTTGTAGCCCATGCTGGTCTTGAACTTGCAACAATCCTCGTCTCAGCTCATCTGAGTTTTTATTACTTTTTTTTTTATTACTTTTATTAATTTTCATTTCAATTTTGTATGGCTACATTTATATCCAACTGAAAAAATATTTTAAAAAATCTATCAAAAATAATGTATTAGGCTAAGGATACAGTTCAGCAGCACAGCGCTGCCTGGCAAGCACAGCGTCCTGCGTTTGATTTCTGGTAATGAATGAATGAATCTTTTAACAGCCTCTTACAGTTATCTGCTAATGGGACAGCCTTACCTTTTTTTTTTAAGGCACCCTTAAAATCTTCTAGAAAGCTTTCTTTTGTAGGGGGCTTTTTTTTTGAGTCTTGCTATATAATCTAGGTTGGCCTGGAACTCATGGTGATCCTCCTGCTTCAGCCTCCTGAGTTCTGTCATTACAGGCATGGCCACCATCCTAACATACGAAAGTTAAACTATTTGCTGGGCTAGCTGGGGGAACATGTGCAGTGCAGTGCAGTGTCTGGGGTGCATTAAAACCAGTTTAAAAGGCTCATCTTGTGATACCACAGCTTATCTTGTGCCTAATGTAGCCTAACTGGTGTTTCAAATTAACTGCAGTTACATAACTGTTGTGTGGAAAGATGAATTTGTATTGTCTACTTTTCAATGTTGAGGTTTTTAGAAATTACACTGCCACTGTAAACTGGTCACTGTGAAGTTTAATAATGATAAAGTATTGTCTTACTGCGTTTCCACAACAAAACCTTTCCTATTTCTAAAGAAAATCAAAGCCTTTATATAACATTAGAAACTGGATGTATATTTACGAAAGACTTGCTCTTATTGTTGCTATTCTAGCCATTCTGTCTCAACAGATCGGTAATAGTGGCTGGAGCATGGATGTTGTACAGTCACTGTGCTCAGGGTCTCCAAGGCAGGGGAAAGGGACCCTTTCTGCTGTAAGCATATACAAAATAGCAAAGACAGACAGCTTTGTGTGTGGAAACTGTTGGAATTCCATCCTGAATCAGGAGGGGAGCAAAGGTGTAAGTGTGAAGCAGTTCCTGCTCACAGACTGGATTCTTTTGCATCTTCGGCCTGGGCACTGTGGGCTCTGCATTTGCAAGTAAAAGGAATAGAAACGACATTATTTCTAACTAAATTACTGAAGACTCTAAGTCACTTTTTTTCTTTTCAAAGCAATAGAGAATAAAATTTATGAATCCAAAGAAAGACTGAAGCAGCTAGAACAAGAAACTGAGCTACTAGAGGACTTAAAACAAACCCTGTCGTCTCTTCAAGACAATGGAGACCTCACATCAACCACTACTTCAGTGTCCTCCCTGTCTTCCTGAAGTTCACCGTGTGCTAAGCCAGCAGTCAAGTAAAACAGCGAGCAGGCTCCAGCGTGGACACCCAGCTTGCAGAAGCCGCCCTGACATTCCACAGACAACTGGGTACTTGGTGTCTGCATCGTGATTTCACTTCTCCTACTTCTTCCTCTCCAATAAAATGTTTCTCAGGTCTGCTTGAGTAAACTGTGTCCGGCTCCCCATCCTCCCACTGTCTGCAAATCAGATCCCGTGGGTGGCTTTCTACTGGCGCACCCCCGTCTAAGGTGATTCCAGTCACACACGCAGCCTTTGCACACCGTTGTCACCGTTGTCCTCCTCCTGTCCTCCCGTCCTGAAGGGCTCGTGACTGTCTCGCACTCATTCCCTCTGAGGCCCCTTTTCCTGCACACCACTTCTCAGTGTAACTGCTTTACTTCCTGTCACATCACGAGCTCTGTAGCAGAAAACAGCCATTCTGTGTTTTGTTCACTGCTGGCCTCAGTTTTGCTCATAACAGTGTTCTGTTCACTATTGTATTTCCTTACCTCTAGCACCCTTATTTACAAACTAAGTGCATAAAAGTTCCTAACTCTTGATTCTAATTCCAGCCCATAATGACCCTTGGATATAGTAAGTAAATGTATTACTTACACCAAATGAGTATCCTCTCTTTGTGTCAGTCTGCTCTTTAGAAATTTCTTTTAAGCCACGGTCCTTACATGGACTTTCATTATCTTCACAACAAATACCAAAATTTAATACTGGAGTGTTTGAATAAGAACAGTGGGAATACACAGGAGTGAAAAAAAATTAAAATCACCTTGCTAACTAACATCTTCTAACAATAAGAAAAATAAGCCTGGCTTATTTTCTCCGTTCTAACCATACAAATTTGCTTATGGTATGTTCAGGAAGGTTAGTCTTGACCTCTACATCTCTGCTCTTGCTACTCACCTTTTTTTGTTTTTGTTTTTGGTTTTTTTTTTTTTTTTGGTCTTTTTGAGACAGGGTCTTGCTATGCAGTTCAGGCTGGCCTTGAGCTCACTTTGTAGCCCAAGCTGGTCTCGAACTTGCAAAGATCCTCCTGCCTCAGCCTCCTGAGTGCTGGGATTACAGGCGTGCACCATCACACCCAGCTACTCACCGTTGTTTTGGAGATGAGCTGAAACTGCACCAACCACCTTTAGAAAAACTGATTGTCACATTAACCCCACTCAGTTCTCTGTATTTTGAGAAGCTTTCTAAATATTTTACTGTGTCATTAACTCATAACCTGATACCTTCTCTCTCCTAACAATTTATATGTTCCTTAAGAATAAGAACTTTCACATGTAAGTATTCCCCAAGGATTCAGGTATATTTTTCTGTGGCAACAGTTCAACTGTACTATCTTTTAACAGGAATTAAATCCAAAGATTTTTATGAGGTATTTATCTCTGTGTGTATTTGAGAATCAAGCAGTTCACATGTTCACAGTGGCATCTCCTAGCACCATAGCAGCTAGTCCGATTTATTTTTAAAATTGTGGTAAAATATATGTAACAGAAAACCTATCATCACTACAGTTTTTAAATGTACAGCATATGTTCAAACCACTATCCATCCAAAATAACCCTTCATCCCACAAAACTGAAAGTACCATAAAATAACTCCTCATTCCCCCACTCCCAGCTCCCGGCAGTCAGCCCTCTGTTTCTGTGATCTTTCACCTTTTTCTGACCAACTTTTGGTGGGTTTTTTGTTTTGTTTTGGTTTTGTTTTGAGACAGGGTCTCATCATGTATGTAGTTCAGGAGGCTGGCTTTGAACTCACTATGTAGCCTAGGCTGGCTTTGAACTCCCAGTGATTCTTCTGCCTAAGCCTCCCGAGTGCTAGGATTACAGGCATGTGCCTCCGTGCCGTGCTCTGATCAACTTATTTTACTTGTAGCATAATGTCCATGTAGTTAATTCAAGCCGGCATGGTGGCACACACCTGTAATTCCAGCACTCGGGAGGCTGAGGCCAGCCTGGGCTACAACGTAAGTTCAAGGCCAACCTGAACTGCATAGCGAAACCCTATCTCAAAAAGACAAAATAAACAAAAACACCATAGTTAATTCATGTACTATGTCACAGTTTCCTTTCTGAGAGTGCTTACTACTGACTTCCAAAGGGGAGAAACAACTCTACATCCTGCCTTAATCGCTTACTTTATTAATTTCATTTTAAACATTACATAAATATAGCCTATGTACAAGAGTATCAAACATTGTTCCAGTAAGAGGCTCAGGAGTACATTCAGGGTTATTTTAAGAAATGTGAGTGCTTTGGTTTCCATATTACATCAGATGAAAAAAAGTAAAGAACAGTGTTAATCTCCTGCTACGATTAACAACAAAACCAAGTAGAAAAATAAGACAGTGTATGTTTTTTTTAAAAAGTGTTTTTGAAGGACTTGTTCTCTTCACTAGCATACGTACACAGACTACTCAGGGATTCTTCACCTATATTAGGAAATCAGTACTTTTTCAGTGAATGAGCTATCTGGATATGGATCTGCTACTTTAATTTGTGCTTTTGAAGTGTTTTTCAAGTAAGCAATAGTAAACATGTTTAAGTTTTCATTTTATTCAGATCATAAACCTACAGAACTGTGACAAACACTACCTATTATAATCAAATTAATGTGCATTAACCGTCCTAGTAAGAGTAACTACCTTGCCGCAGAGCTAATTCTAACCTAACAGTTCACTGAGCTTCAGTCACTTGTGGTAGATCAAGGAAAGGGTACAGGACTGGGACTTCAGGTTTGCAGTTATTTTGCCTATCAACAATTCCTGTCTTTGGGGCTTCACTCCCTACTCATCCCCCCAAAACATCTGCTACAACAGTAGCGACAGAGGACCTTCTCTCCTGTGGTTAATGTGGCTCTGAAAACATTCAGGCTCCAAGTCCAGAAGCGGCCCTTCTAAGCCAGAAACGGAATATATTAAGGGCGCTCACACTAAGGGAAATGAGTTCATGAACCAGAGAGCAGGACAAAGCTTTGTTCTTCAGACAAACTCAGTGGACACATGATACAACTCAGAGGTGAACACTCTTAAATTCCAAAGTCACATTTCCTAACCAGATCCCCCCCTCAAAAAAACGTTTTTTCAATAAGACCTTTTTGGGAAACCATGATTTTCCAGCTCTCTCAACACTAAATTTCACCAGAACACCTAACACAAAAAAGAAACCGAAAGTGGAAGGTGGTCAAGTTTTTCAAATTAAGTTTGTGATGGGGTTTGGCCTACCTAAAACACATAAAGCAAATTCCATTAAGTTGTAGAAGAAAGTTGTTTTTCAGGACCATTTCTTCAAGTCACAATGTAGCAGGCCTGATGATTCAGCCTCCATCATAAAAAGGCAAAAGTACACCATATGTGTCATTTTTTTTTCTTATGAATTAAGGGAAAAAGTAGAGTAACTTAAATTTTAGTTCTAAAATTCAATTTAATGAAATAAAATGGATAAAGGGTGGAGGTTCCAATTATAAAACATTGGCCTGTGTCCAAGGTTTCCTTCATTATGGACACAAGTTGCTATTCTTGATGACTTAAATCTTGAGAAGTCTTGACATAGAAATGATTACTTATTTCAACAGGCTTAACTCATGTTAAGGGGAACATTATTTTGATACATCTCTTGAAGTTAAGAAGTCACGCTAGCAAAAGCACGGAACACGTTCTCGAATGGCTCTAAGTTCTCCCTCACAAGGAAGGTTCCAGGCGGCAGCTGACGGAGCACTTTGCCAAGGCCGGGGTCAGCATCCATACCTCAGGGTGGGGCCTCTGCAGTCACCTCACATTTGACAAACTCACAATCCTGGCATCACAGGGTTGTGACACATAACCCAGGAGAGCTGTAGAACTTCCTGTTTCTAAATTTCACAGTGCCTCTAACCCAAAACAAAAGCAGCTAAACTTGCATACTTTTCTCAGTGTTCCAGCTCAAATGTTAAGATGGGTTACATTTAAAGTGTATGTATCTGGAAATGAGTTGTTTAACATGGGCTCAGAAAAAGCCATACATCCTTCATGAATTCCGACAGAGACCGTGTCTCACATGTGACAGAAACCACCAGATAGGTTTTACCTGCAGAATTACATTGCCTGACAGCACAAGCTGGACACATCCCCAGCAGTGCCCAGAGCACGCACTCACACCCCAGCAGCTTCAGTTCTTAAAGGCTCCACATTTACTGGCTTTAGCAATGAACTCCTTTAGCAGAGGGCCATCCATTTGCCAAAATGCTGCAGTCTGTGTAACTTCTGTCAAATGATTGATGCAAAACTTAAAGCAGAATTCTTCTAAATCCTGGACACACACAACAAAAATAAAAACAAGAAGAGGCCTTTTAAAATTAACTTTGAATTCTCTCAAGCACCTCGCCCCAACTCTCTTGTCCTTCCCCAAAAGACTGTCGAGGGGCCAGATACCTCAAACGAGGCAAAAAAACACATACTACTTATAACATAAAAAAACAATGGCTTGTTCCCCAAATTCAAATGTGATTCTTCCAATACACACACACACACATACACACACACACACACACATATATCTTGGGGAGGGGATTCTTCCATGGCTATATCAGTCCAGTTATACTCACAACAGTATTGTACAAGGCTAAACAACACTTTAATTCATACAATGGCTTTTGTTACATTTAAGAAAGGAATTAAGATGTGGGTTAAAGAAGAGGTTTTTTTTTTTTTTTTTTGGTCTTTTTGAGACAGTATGTCACTATGCAGTTCAGGCTGGCCTTGAGCTCACTTTGTAGCCCAGGCTGGCCTTGAACTCAAAACGATCCTCCTGCCTCAGCCTCCCGAGTGCTGGGATTACAGGCATGCGCCACCAGGCCCAGCTCTAAAGAAGAGGCTTTAAAAAACAAAAACAGATGAAGACTTGTGGTCAATCCATAGTTACAGATTAGAAAGAGAATCTCCAAAATGTCAATTTTGTACTCTGCTAGTGGGTATAGGGGCAGAGGTACTGCATATTGAACGCAAGGGCTCATGTATATTAGGCAAGTGCTCGAACCTCTGCCTTTTGAAAGAATACTTCCACCACACTACTTTCACAGCTACTCAACCCCAGAGAACTGTATTTTCACAGATTAGATTTTTTCCATCAGACATGGAAAACCAACTGCCAACATTCAGAAAGAAAGAAACATACAAGTGATAAACCAGAACAATTTAAAGATCATTTTCTACCTATGCTAATACATCCATCCTAATAGTATTTGTTACTTCAAATGCTGGAACACATATTTATTTAGGAGGCACTCAGAATGTACGCACAGTAAAGATTTTGTATATAAAACCAAATCACACTAAAAGCTCTTTCCACATGTGGCTGAATTTTTATAATCTGCCCAGCTGGTTAAGGTGTACACCAACATCAACACGTAAAATGCAGGTCCTGCTGGGGATATAGCTCAGCGGCACACAAGCGTAAGGTCCTGAGTTCAATTCCTGGTACCAAAAAATAAAATGCAGATCCTGACCTCATGTGTCCACTCACCATGAGGTGAGAGTTTCAGAGCAAAGAAGTTCCCACACAAACGTGCAGAGATACCTTTCCTGCTCTCCCAGCACACAGTTACTTCTTTACTGAAAGGATCTCGTTGCTGGCTGAAAGATGCTGGGACTAAACTCAGGAAAGTTACCCAAGCATGGAACTCTTAAGAGATAATATGAATGGGCCAAATGCTGCCAGAGTTCTGTATTCTGAATAATTCAAAGTGCATTTAGAATACCAGCACAATCTCTGGATCTATGTTTCTTACTCCGATTCCTAGTACGCTAAATGCTGCACTTAATGTTGTATGTATTATAGTAAACTAAAATGGAAAACTATATAAAACACTCCTACTCTGATGATTATTCAAGAAAAAACATTGCTCCTTTGTAATACATAGCTTTCAGGACTAAATTATTTTTCACAGGGATGTAAAAATCACATTTTAATCATTTCTAGTAATCAAAACTAGTAAACAAATTTATTGACACTTAATTTTAGAAGTAGCCAGACATGAGCACAGAAAGTTCTTCAAATTATATGTCAAATAAAAATCTTCAAATATTACACTTTAATTACATAACTTCAAATTCACAGGAAAAAAAGTACACTAAATTCTGGCAACATAAAGCCTTACCACTGTGGTGTCTACTAATTTGGAATTCAAGATATTTTAGTGTACAAGAAAAAGTCAGTTTATTCATCTTACTGATTACACAGAGATTACTGTAAGCAAAATCTTTTTTTTTTGTCTTTTTGAGACAGTGTCTCCCTATGCAGTTCAGGCTGACCTTGAGCTCACTTTGTAGCCTAGGCTGGTCTCAAACTCACAACAATCCTCCTGCCTCAGCCTCCTGAGTGCTGGGATTACAGGCGTGCACCACCATGCTTGGCCATGTAAGCAAAATCTTTATGAATTCTTTATAGAGTACAGGTACACAAATGGTGCTTCTAATTATAATTCACTTCATACACTCATAAAAACAGTTCTATCAACAACCTTCCATCCCCCTCCCATTAATTTGAACTGGTGATAATGTATATCTTGGTATTTAGTACCTGTTTACCAGTTTTAAACACTACAGAATACTTCCAACAATCCAAATCTGCTTTACTTAATTAACTAACTGAACTCTGACTACTACGATCTATGTAAAAAAGAAAACACTGACTGCATTCAGAGAGAGATCTGGGCGTGCAGTTCATTTTCTCAAGCGGACAGTGGCAGAGTCCAGCAGCCTTGCTTACCAGCTGTTGCCCCGAGTAGTTTTCCTCAGATGGGTCAATCAGGCAAACAGCCTTCTAATGAGGCTGTTCTTTCACATAAGAACATATATGACCCTTTCACCTCATTCTGCAAACGATCAACCACATCTTCAATTACTTAGACTAGAAAACGCCAACTCGTACCCAACTAAAGCCAGTTGTAACAGGATTGCTAGGGTTTAACTATAAAATAATCCCAAGAAGGAATCATTTGACCAGTAGATCAAGAAAGATTCACAACCGAATGGAAGTAGATGAAGTATCATTTGATTGGAAAATGAAAAAGGTCACTATAAGAGGCTTCTTGTTACTAGAAACTGTATGACATTCTGTGGCGAAATTTCTGTCAAGTGGTTCTCAAGGAAATCATCAGACTTATTATAATTTGCAAGAAAAATTGCCATTCTGAAATAATTTAGCTGGACATGGTGGCACACGATTGTAATCCCAGTACTCAGGAGGCTGAGGCTGGAGGATCGCTGCAAGTTCAAGGCCAGCCTGAACTACATAGCAAGACCCTGTCTCAAAAAAGAAAAAGAAAAATGAAATAATTCATATGTGTCCAAACCTTTAAACATTTATAAAGTATTCCACTCATTATACATACATGTGCAGAAAGTCCAGATTTTGTCTAGTAACAAAACACCTAGTCCTAAAATTCCAAAGCAAAAAATCCAATTGAACACTAACACTTCTTGGAGGACCACCTGGCCAGAGTGAGACAGGACACTGTGTGTCACTGCCACCCTTGACATGCATTCCACGTGACAGGAGATCACAAACCACACAAACCTGTTGTTAACTGTAAAACAAAACCTTAAGGTTATAGTTCATTTTATAGTATATCAATTACAAAATATTTGAGGTCAATGTAGGTTTTGATTTTTCAGAATGTATTTAAATGGCCTACTATATGGGAAAAAATGGTGCTTTCACTAAGCAAATATTTCATGGCCAGCTCAGCAAGGAAAATTTTTAATGTGGCTCTCTGAAAGAAGAAAAAAACTTGACCATCTAGTTTTAATACACAGCTTTCCAACATTCACATCAAAAAACACTTTTCAAATGAGATTCCTGGCTGGCATGGTGCTGCATGCCTGTAATCCCATCACTTGAGAGGCTGAGGCAGGAAGATCACTGTGAGTTCCAGGCTAGGCTGGGTTACATAAGTGAGTTCAAGGCCAGCCTGCCACTATGCAGTGAGACTCTGTCTCAAATAAACAAACAAACAAAAATAGATTCCTGGACTCTCATTTACTGCTTTCCAACAAAAGCAAAATCACTAGGATGTAAGTTTTTCAGCAAGTAAGAGTTCGGTGGAAAGTTCTCTGCTCTGAAGCAGCAGATATAGAGGAAACAAAAACTTACTGAAAAGGTTCAGCGTGTATAGAAGCATTTCAAAAGTTTTACACTGTGCTACTGAAATATGCTGAGGCAAAGTTTTATTCCCATTTTCTCCCTGGATGTCAATATTTATTCAGGTCTTTACTGGAGGACTATTTAAGCACTCCTTCAAGTCTTTATAAATTTTACAGAAGGTTTAATAATGTATTCATAATGCAAGGGCCCCCATAACAACTGTTTTTTAAATCTGTGTAACTACTGAGTCTGTAATTTTCTGTGAACATTTGTTTCAAAATTATGTCAAAAAGAGACATGGAAATACCATAACAACTTTACAGAAAACAGAAGCAAGTAGTCTCCATCTTTTTAGTATCTGATCAACATATAATGCAAAGCCATCTATTATTCCCACATTGAACTTCTGAAATTTCAGTTTTTACAGTAAGTTTCCATGTGACTTACTATAATGTAGCTTCCAATCAACTAATACATATAAGTGGGCTTGACTTCTGTACTTCAAATACTACTTACTACATTCTACAGTATTAAGGAAATAAAACATAAAAGTATATTAATCATTTATATAGCTCATATCAGAACCTAAAAATTATGCCATAAAAAGCAATGCTTTTGCTTTCATCTATTACCTATCTTTTTTTACATTGTGTAGTAATGAATGTGTAGTATTTGTGAATTTTAGGTTTCAAATATTCCTTTTAGAAATACCCTTTTGTGGTGTTACAAATATACCCATTTAATTCAACATATCTATGGGGCTGTTTTTGTTTTTTGTAGTGCTGAGTATTGAACCAAGGGCTTCATACATGGTAATTAAGTGTTTTACCACTGAGCTACATTCCAGCCCAACTCAGCACGTGCTTCTGAGCGCTGGCGCTATGATCGCACTATGACAAGCTCCAGGGGGTCCCACACAGTGTATCTGTAGTCCCTCTAAAGTAACAATTCTTAATGTGTTAATATGAGAAAAATAAACACTAGCAAAGGAACAATCAGCTGTTATGGGCAAAATTGTCGTAAGGCTTTTTCTATAAACTTTCTGGAATAAATTTTAGCTGAAGGGAAGGAAGAAATTCACAGTTAAGTAGGGTCAAGAGGTTTGCCGCTACCCAGGTTGTTCTGACTGGTGTAATCCAGCAAGGTCCTAGTCAAGGCTATGGAGTCTGTGAACACAGAGGAGTGTAGAAAGGCACAGTGAAGGTTCGGGAATCCATCACCAGATGGAGAGAAAAGGCATCGACCCAATTTAAAGTGGAACCCTTGAGTGGAAACGAAATCTAAAAAGCTGCATTTCTAAGGTGTCACAGGAAGGCTAAGAAAAAAACCATTCCTCCATTTCCTGTTAGAAACAATTTACTTTGATCATCTTCCATCTGTTGTCAGGCTGCAGACTCAGCTAAATTTGATCTTATCAAATATTTATAATCATAATAGAACCTCAAACAAAAATAGAACAATTTCAAAAATACAAAACATGGTCAACTTAACCCTTAGGACTTAAGTAACACAAAGTTTGTCCTCTATTGTACCTCAAAGGCCACAGTGCAACCCTGTGATAAATTCCCTGACACCAGGTATTCCACCTTGTCAAATGATAACAAAATACCTACCACAGGGCTGTGTGTCACTCACATGCACACCTTTGCTAGATATCTTAATCTTCTTTATGTTTTATTCTCTGCAACTCTGTGAAACCAACCATACCAGTCATCAGCCCACGAGTTATCCTTACCCCACCCTTTAGCTGGTGCTGCCTTCACTGCGCTGAACAAACATTCAGATGCCTAATACATCCCAGACACTACATGGAGGAGGAGTAAAGTCCAGTTCCTGCTCAAGAGGAGCTTACAATCTGATGATTTGCTTCTTAACTTCAAGAAAACAAATCTCCAGAACTTTCAGACTCCCCAAATCCCATAAATTCAAAGACTACAGATCTGAGAATCTCAGAACTCAATCCAGTGCAAGAAACAAACAAAAGGAGTCCATAAGAAGCTCTTTATACAGGAGTAACTGTGAGTTATAATCAGATAATGATAAAATTCCAGAGAGCACACAGATATAAATCATATAGCCTCCTGTGCTTCTGACAGGATAGAGTTGAGAGAGAGCAAAGCAGGTCTTGACAAACACAGCCACACTGATAATGAGGAAGACTAGAAACTAAAGCAAGCATCTGTCAGCCCAAATGTGTGCAGCACTTTTATGATCCAACCGGCAGAAAGCTGTGCCCTCAGGCAATCAGGTCCTTATCTTAGTTAAAACTGGAAGTAGAGGAACAATCAACTTTGAAAAAGTGAACAGAGGATACAACAAAGGCCAGATTTCACTTTTTAAGGATTAGCCCCACGGAGCCCCTAAACAGAGCTACTCCTCAAGTTCCTGTGTTACATGAGACAAAGGGCAGAGCAGTGAGGAGCGGGCGGTGTGGGTCTGCTGTTGCCGTTTTAGGTTACCTCTGCATCATATCTGACTGCAGCAGAGAACAATGAAAACGCATTCTCCACAGTAATTCCACGCTTGATAATGTGCTGACAAAGTTTTTTCAGTCTGTTTTCACAGTAAGATGTCGCCAAATCCAAAAGACCTGAAAGTAAGAAGTGTGGAAGTTTTAATCCAGTTGACAATAACGTCCCATAATTTATAAATACACTTACTTCATCTTGGTGAACAGAACTATATCGATAAGTCAGCAGAAGTTTCTCAGCAAATAATATGAATTAAAATAAATATATGAAATTATTCAAATATCTGAATTTGAATAAATATACTTTTTTGCTCCCTGTCTCACCTCCAAAAACATATTTCTTTCATACAATTTCTTCTATAGTACAAAGGAAGGGGAAAAAATACAATTTCCACCTTCATTTTGTTTCTAAAATGCTAAATCCATCAGTAACTTATACTTTAATATTAAAATAAGTCTACAATCATAAACTTTATCCATAATTATTAACCATGATAACTACACAACACTGTACTATTTTTAAAGACATTTACTTTAAAAAACCACATAAAAGCCAACATCTCTGAAATTTTTAACATTTCACTACACTGCCCTAAGAACACGGAGTATGTTCTCGACCACATGGCCTGCGGTACCTATAGCGTCTTCAGGCGGCAGATCCACGGTGTCTGTGTAGAGGTACTGGAGAAAGGCACGGTACACAGGGTAAGAAAACTGGTCTATTTCTATCACCTCCTTCATGTCCTCGTTCCAGTAGGACTGGAACATGGATCGAAAATGCTCACACCTAAAACAGAGAGGCAAATGTTACCTCATAAGGGGACAAAAATCAAATAAACAGATAATAGAGGTACCCTTATCTACTGTATTTGGGCTTTCACAGAGAGATTATGACTTGTTAGCACAAAATATCCCTTCAGCAAGTACTTTGAAATGTACCTTTTACATATCCGTTCATTTCTGATATCTCCTAATAAATATTAAGAATTACACATACAACTCGGAAGTACCTAGCACTTCAACAGCACTACAATTCCCATTTGACAGTCCCCATTCTCATTAGGGTAGCAGAAGGAAGAGGAGGAGGGGGAGAAGAAAGGAGGAGAAGGAAGAGGAAGAGGAGGGAGAAGAGAAAGAGAAGGAGAAGGGGAAGAGGAAGGAGAAGGAGGAGCAGAGCAGGTAGTAGTGGTGGTGGAGGAGGAGGAGGAGGAGGAGGAGGAAGAAGGGTGCACAGAACTGCATTTCAAATAACAACATTAGGGCTGGGGACATGGTTCAGGGACAGGATATTTTCTTAGCATGCACAAGACCCTGGACCCTGGGTTCAACCTCCAGGACCACAAAACAAAAACATAACAACAAAAACAATGATATGAAAAAAATTCAAAAGTGAACATTAAAAATTTTTACAACATATTAAGTCACTGAAATTATTCATTTGTTTTCGTTTTACACAATCAATCTACTTTTAAAACTGGCTTAAGTGTCAGCCAGAGTGTGTTAAGAAGAGTATCGCTCCCTTATCTGACAAGATGATTTCTCGTCCTTTCTAACTCACCTCTGCAGCAGCCATCGCCCGCAACTGCTTGTTTTTGTGGCCAGCTCCCTCCTCTTTCCTCCCAAGCCTATCACAATCTTCCTTATAAAATACATGCACTAGGAATCTTTACTTCAAGAAAATCCAAGTGCGGTTTTCACACTGTATTTACATAAACAAATCCACTTACACGAGGAAACTGAGTATCAAATTTCCTTAAAATGTGAAACATACTAGCCAGGCCTGTAATCCCAGCACTAAGGAGGCTGGGGCAGGAAGATCACTGCAAATTCAAGGTCAGCTTGAGTTACATAGTGAACTCAAGGACAGCCTGAACTACACAGTGAGACCTTGTCTCAAAAACAAAAAACAAAACCTTTAAAACATAACAAACTTTTACAAATAGTATGTATTTTTTAAATCATCTTTTCAAATTCATTCAAGATGAGTACAAAGAGAGACAAGATATTTTCAAAATCCATTCAAAATATTAAAATAATGGCTCCACAGTTATATAATTATCTGCTCTGAGAAGTTAAGAAGAAACAGTTGTCTAAGCAAGGAATAACGCACATACTGTGTCAGAAAACTACACATGAAAGGAACACACCTGCTGACCACAGGGTCACAGAGCAACATTTCCAGTTCATCTTCTCAATTAATACTACTGCAATTCACGTATTTACTACTCTACGTAATGAATGCCAGATGGCTTTCTGGTTGCCTTAAAAAGTATTTTTTGCAAATAGGCTTTAACTAAATTTCCAAGAAAAGTAAAAATCTAGCGATAGGAATGACTTCTATGTACCTTTTTCTCACAACAGCAACTCCAGTGAGCAATAATAGTCCAAATAGTTATTCCCCCACATTTATACAAGAAACTCCTGCCATTGACTCTATCTAAAGAACTTTTCTTCACTTGAGAATGAGAGGACCCTGATGGCTAGAAGCCCAGCATTCCCAACTATCGGCTTTCTGCTTGGGAAAACTGAATCTGTAATAGTAACAGAGGACACACAGTGAAATTCGTTGACAACCTTTTGTATTTTGCACCTTCTCCCTGCCCCCAGTATTGGAGCTAAAACCCAGGGCTTGTATATGGTAGGCAAGTGATCTGTAGTGAGCTCATACAAAAATACCTGATTTTCAAAACAGCTTTATGGACATGAACGTATTTCCCATCAATTCGAAACTTCAGATCAGCAGTTTCTGGACTATCAAATTCTTTCTTCAGTGACTCTGCAACTGTTAAAAAGTCTTCATGCTCTGAAGGCAGCAGACACAGTATTAGTACAGAATACTCAGGAGACAGAGCAAAATATGAAAGATTTCCAAAAGACCAGTAGCAGAATGGTGAATTATTCCATTTAACATATTTTCAAGAGTTCATGCCTTATTTGACAAATCATTTTCACAAAATAACTTCCATTTTTAAACTACCAACAACAGCAAAAACAAAACCACTACCAACAAAACAAGTATTAACAAAAGCCAAATACAGTCTTGCATGCTTAGACATAAGAAATGGGTGTTTAAAAAAATTTCAGGTAACCCATGAGGAGGCAATCACTCAAAATCTGACTGTTCTCTTCTATGACTACGAACACGTCAATTTTTTTTTACTAAAACACTAAGAACACTTTTGCTCTGTTTTGGGTTAGTTTCAAAGAGGCCCTCCTTCAAATCAAGGAGGCCCAAGAAACAAGCCTAACACCAAGTATTAATACTAAGCGGTCAGGCTCCTAAGCAGGGACACTTTCCTAAGCATCCAAAAGCTACACATTCGTCTTAACCCTAAAAACCAACACACAACCAATAATTCTTCCACACTATCTAGAAAGAGAGCAAATTTACTCATACATGCATAGTATAAACAGCTTTATAAGAACAAGTGATCCCCTGACCTGGAACATAGAAGTAGATTCCAAAATCTGTACAAATCATGGGACATTTCCTTTACATGTAGTTGTACGAGAGAAGGTAAAAAGCAGAAGGTGGCTAACGGGGAAATAAACTCCAGAGGCCCTTATTGGGCACTGAAAATAGCTTCTATAGACGTAAGAAATAGTTTTGATTGCCCAGGAGCTGAAAATGATATAGCCAAAGAGCTCAGCTGTTCAAGTGTAGAAAAATGCGTTGCTTGGTAGCTTGGTGTCACCAAGGCATTTTTTAGAGGAGGGACATACGCTAAAACCTAGGCTGGAACTTAGTAAGTGAGCATGGAAATACCACTTGCCAAAGCCCTGTGAGCTCAACCTACAACCCTCTTTAAACCCCACAACACAGAGTTCTTCTGCCCATGCAAGAAGGCTGGTAAATTTCTTGTCAATCAATCTTTCCCTGACCTAGAACATGAACCACTGTAGGAGAAAAGGAAATGACTACGAGGGAAAGAGTCGAGGTCTAGATGTGCGCCCCACCCATCCAAAGCACAGTTCTCTGCGCCTCCCCTCCGCATGTAGTCACAGGGCTGAAATGAACCTTTCCCGCTCTTTGTTTCTGGCAACAAGTATAATACCTCCTTTCAGAGAAGAAATATTCCTCAGAGGTGGGAATTCACCATTTGACCTTCTTCCTAACACTCAGCTGAGATCATAACTGAAAGGAAAAAACACTTCTGACTTTCAGTGGCTGGAAAGGGAAAGACGCCATCTAGGAAATATAGTCAATGACCACATATTTTCCAAATTTAACATTAAAAATGTCAGAACACCGTTCTGAAGAGAATGTCTGTGCCATTTTAAGATGAGCCCTTTTATCTATGGGTCCATGGGCCCAGGTTAAGTAGTATATGGAAATCTCAGGGTGTTTTGTACAGATGTACTGTGGATGTGCATACTATATATACTGTATGTACAATTATGGCCGAAAGGTCCCACTCACTAAAGTCAATTTTTTCTAACCATATTTATTGATATACACAGTATTATAGCTAAAGCTGGTAAAATGAATTTAAAAGAGATGTTCTGTTTATTTCACTTTAAGTTTAGCATTAACTTAACTCCTCCTAAATATACTCTTACCTAACTTCACGACGGGCCGTGTGTATGTGACGACAGTACAGGGTTTTCTTTTGGAGTAATGAAAACATTTTGGAACTTGATATAAATAATGGACACATAACATTATGAATATACTAAATGCCTCTGCATTATATACTTTAAAATTATTAATTTATCTTATGTACAGTTGATCTCAATTAAAATGAAGGCACTTAGGGATAAAAAGGTCCATGGAATATTTGATGACATATAAATAAATATGATTATTACTGGGGAAAATATTAAAGCTAGTGGAGACTAAAACACTCTACTACCTAAAAGAGCCCACAACTGGCAAACATGCTGGCACGGTATCTGGTCAGTAGATGGTACCATTCTCCTGGGTACATGAAGCCCAAAGCCTTCTTACCTACAGACAAAAGGCGCCAGGTGACAGCAGGAGTGGCGCAGCAGGCAAACACGTCGTCGGTGCAGGAGAAGTGGGTGAGGTGAGGGAGGATCACCGACTGGCCCCGGCACTGGCCCCACATGTACACGTGCCCGCCCTGGGTCTTGGCGGCGGACGTGTGGGCAGAGTGACAGGCTGCAATTTCTACTACCCTAAAAAGATTTAAGCAAAGTGCATGTTACTTTCCTTCCACAGAAACCTTCAGCACACCACACATGTAATTAACAAGCTCATGCTTTGAACAACTCAAACAAAAAGCACAGATCAGGGATATTAGCAGCTAAGTCACACTGAGGCGGTCAAAGATGAGGGCAAGAGCACTTTAGCTCTCCCTTCCCAACGCCCGCACTTTCACCTACGTGCATTCTGAGTTTGGGTGGACAACAGTAACAGCGAGGAAACCTCAGAAAAGCAGATCAAAGTGAATGGAGACAGGACACTGACAAAATGTCCTGGCTGTCCTAGGGCCCCAAGCAGTAGTAAGAAAAAATACCAGGACTATCTCTCACTCCCTGCCAGCGCTCAGAATACTCAAGAGGCAGATAAGCACTGGTTCAGGGGTCATGAACCCTGAATACTCCAGTCTGAAGGGAACACCAGGCCAAACCTGATGCACTTTTTAGTATGCTTCTTGCCACAGTGCTGCAATCAGAAGTCAACACTCAGGACTCGGGGTGAGACCTCCCAATGTGGTGCAGTACACATTAAGCAAGTACTCTAGCAGTACAGTATGTCTAGTCAATATGTAACAGTGTCCTTTTTAAAAGGTCTTACTTCTTTAAAAGTGGGATTAGTAGTCTCCAAAGAAAAGTGTGTACCATACTTTGAATTCCAGCACAGTCACAGACACTATTTGACTGCCCTATGCAATGGGCAACACCAAGCTGCACGAGAACTGGTCAACCTCACGCTCATTCCAGCGGGTACTCAAAACCATTTCCAAATGGGAATGTTAGTCAATAGTAGAGTCACAAAGCCAAACACCACAGCTCTGCTGCACACACTTCCAAGGCCACAACACACACACTGTCCCAGCCAAATTACCTTTCCTTCTCCACCATGATGTGTGCCGGGCTTAGCAGGTTATTTTTATTGCCAGTTCCCAGCTGCCCATATGTGTTAGCTCCCCAGGCATAGAGCAAGCCCTCATCTGTTAGTGCTAGAGTATGTGCATAGCCGCAGACAATCTGCAAGTAAACGTAAATGGTTACCATTACCAGGAAAACAGGAAGGGCAGGGTACATCTACTTGAAGGTTACAGCCAGCCTCTGCAAAATGCCAGTTCATCATCAGATGGGGACTGGCATTTGCTGGACCATGAAAAGGTATAAGGAAAGGCTAACCCTGCCACTACTGGATTTCTCCATCAGTTCAAGACTGATGTGTCAATACCACAAGCTTCCTTCTCAGGGAATTCAGGGAAGACACAATACATGAAAGGTGACAGCACAAGAAAAGAATGCCAGAAAAGAATGACAAAAACAGTAAACCTCCAATATCTGTCCACGTCAGAGCAGGGAAATGGGCAAGGGCTAGCGGGCAGGACGCTGCCACACATACCTGGTTCACACACACGCTGTGCAAAGCTGCTACTCTCATAGGGGTTAGCTGGTTGCCGTTGTTTCCCAAACCCAGCTGGCCATTGCCATTGTAGCCCCAGCCATAGACCTGGAAGAAGAGAGAGGAGCTCTGGGAACTGCAGTAAGAGGTGAAAATCCAGGCTGTCTGAACACATCGCTACTCCAACCCGGGATCCTATTCCATGTGATCCTCTAACTGATATCAAATAGAAGGTACTTTGGAGGGGATGAGAGAACTTGGCCTCAGCACCTGTTCTGTTTCCGGTTAGATAGCTGTGGGAAAGTTCCTCATTCCAGTTTTTATAGATGAGGAACCTGAGGGCCATAAACAATGATTAAGCATCACTGTATGTCAAGACACCTTGAAAGGTACTTAAAATAAGTCTTTGATTACAGTTTCACAGAAGATGTAGACACATGAGAAATTTTTGCAGACAGGTAATAGAAGTTGTAAGAGATAATTAAGGCACTACAGGAATAGTAGGAAGAAAGTCTGGGGAAGATCCTTCACCCCTGCTCACATTCTAGAAAGTGGAGACCTGATCAGCGCTGAAGGGTGAATGAGGGTGAAAGTATTTCAGGCAGATGACACAGAATGTGTCAGAGGTAGAAAAGACAGGTGGGCCTGGCTGGACACACCTGGGGTAGTGGTGGAACGAAAGACTAAAAGGAAGAAAAAGAGAGGTAAATGAGAAAGAGACAGAAAACACACCAGGAAAGTTGAATGTACCTAAAAATTTTCCACTGAAATTATTTCAAAACAGAGAAATTTAATTAAATTTGCATTTGTGTAAGATCACATTGGACACAACATAAAGGGTGACGGGATCATACAAGTCTAGAAGCAGGAAAACGACTCAGTAGTAATTTCATTTTCCCTCAGCAAACAGAGGAGCTCTGACGAGGGCCTGAAGTAAGTGACAAGGGACCAAGAGAGGACGGACAACAGAAGAGGTCTCTTGGATGTCTGAGGGGGGAGGACCATCTGCTAAAGACAAAAGCGCTGGCACAGGCTTCACAGGAAGGTTAAAGGTTTAGAAGAGCTCATGTGGGAGACAGGCAAAGAACTAACCAGGAAGAGAAAACTTCAAGGTCGGGCTCAAATCAGAAATCTAAAACTTGCAGTGACACTAAGCCCCATGGAGTGCAGACAGATGTCCCCTGGGGCTGTGCAGCGCAATGTGACAGAGGAAAGGGAGGCGTGGATTGCACGGTCCTCACTAGAGAGTTAGCTAAGGTGCTTTTGTCCCACGCCAGACATGGGTGAGGAATCAATTTTCTGAAGAGAAATTTGGCAACGACTATCAACGCTTTTAATGGGGTACTTCTTCACCCCAAAATTCTATTTCTGGGGATTGAGTCCACAGAAAAACTTGTACAAGGATGCAAAGATACACAGTAACACAGAAAATCTGTGCTCCGTTGTTTGCAACAGAAAAACGAAGTAGAAATAACTGAGATGCCTACTGGTAGAACTTGGGGTATGGGTCACCCAAGGGCAGTCACTGTGGTGAAAACACTGTCAATGCTGATAGCCCAGTGCACACAAGTCATATGCTTTCAAATGGGAAGGGGAGGCACAGTGCAGAAGAAAATAGGAAAGCAGTAATATACAGCTATCCCATTAAGAAAGTAAAGTAAGAATACTTATATCCACATGTAATTGTTTAGAGACAAGCCCACAGGATATACATCATACAGTTGACAAGACGGGGGAAAATGTACTTAATATGTTTCATTTGTTTGGCTTTATCAAAATAACCAAAGAGTTTTTAAATTAAACTTTGAGGCAGGGATGGGGTCTTGGTATACAGTTCAGGCTGGCCCTGAACTCACTGTGCAGCCCAGGCTGGCCTCAAACTCACGGCAATCCTCCTGCCTCAGCCTCCCAAGTGCTGGGATTACAGGTGTGTGCCACCAAACTCATTTTAAAAAATAAAAGGACAGCTATTCCCCTCCTGGGTATTTTTCCAGAAGAACTGAAAACGTTATACCACAGCAATATATGTGCACCTATTTTTATAGCAGCGTAATTTGTAATAGCTAGATCTTGGAAACAGCCCAAATGTACATCAACTGAGGAATGGATAAAAAAGATGTGGTATTTTTATACAATGGAGTATTACTCAGCTATAGAGAAAGATAAACTAGAAGCTTTTATAGGTTAATGGATGCAACTAGAGACCATACTCATTAGTGAAATAAATCAGATTCACATGTGTAAACATCACATTTCCTCCCTACTATAAGAATCTGAAACAGTAAATAAAATCTGAATGGTATAATAGATATTGTGAAAGGGAAAAGAAACTGCTCAAATAGGAAGGAGCAACTGGGATGAAGGAGGGGAGGAAAAAGAAGGAAGAGGGAAAAAATATGTATATGTATACACAGGATAGCTAGGATAATTGTACTACTAATATCTGTTGGTTTATCAAAAGGAACTGTAAATGTGTAATTGTTTGATCAATCTTGCATGCCTGTATCTGGTTATATGTGCAAGCATTTTGAAGATGGCATTAGGTAATATAATAGCCATTGTTAATATCCTATCACCATGTTTTGAAATTCTGTATTATTGTTCTCTGTGCTGTTTAGTTTATATATTACTTTTTGTTATTTTGGGTTTTTTAAAATGAAAAACAAAATTTATATGTACATATAAGGATGCTGGAATAAGTATATTGCTAATATCTGTGGTTTATTGAAAGGAACAGTCAATGCTTAAAATTTTCTTTTTTCTTGACCAATTTTGCATACTTGAATTTGACAATCAGAATGACTAATCTCAAAACAACAATATGCAGTGTAAGAACCATTGTTGAACTCCTACCATCCTGCATGGTGAAGCTCTGCATCCTTTCCAATTTTTTTTTATTACTTGTTACTGTCTTCAAAGACATCATCTGGCTTGTCTGACATTCTAACGTCTGGTGGACTGAGCACCTTGGTTGAAGATAACAGTGTGTAATATAATAACCATTGTTAATTCCTATCATTTTGTTTTGAGGTCATGTATCATTTTTGTTGTTTTTATGTCATTTTTTTTGTTTTGTTTTTTGTTTTTTTTCCGGTACCGGGAATCGAACTCACGACATTGCAGTTGCCAGGCAGGTGCTGTGCCACTGAGCTAAATCCCTAGACCCTTTTACGTCATTTTGATTTTGTCTTCATTGTTGTTTTGTTAGTTTTTTAAAATAAAAAAATTTTTTAAAAATATGTTCTTAAAATGGAAATAATGTATCAACTCCTGGTGACAGTTATCAGCATAAATACATAAATAAATAAATAAAATGAAAGGAGTGAAGAACACTAGAGTACAGGGTATTAGCTGGCTACCCTAAGGAACGCTGAGCTCATCAGGATGACAGCAGGATTAAGGTCCACCAAGGTGAGCGCTCAGTACATACAGCACTCCAGAAGAATAGCGCCTGAATCCATAAGGTCTGTGCCCCAAATTCTCTGCTTATAATTTTCATGCACTAAGAAATGCATAGGTTATAAGTGGCCCATTAAAGTAGAAGTTGCAATCAGAAATAATTTTACAGAAATAACTATCAGCTCAAAGGTAACCAAAGAGAAGGCAGCTAGCTAAAGGGTGAGTTTTTTAAAATACGGAACAAAAAAATTCTGATTTAGCTGGGCATGATGGTGCATGCCTGTAATCCCAGCACTTGGGAGGCTGAGGCAGGAGAATCTTTGCGAGTTCACTGCCAGCCAGGGCTACAAAGTGAGTTCCAGGCCAGCCTGAACTGCATAGGGAGACCCTGTCTCAAAAAGACAAAGAAAAAAATTTGAGTGGTCAAAAAAAAAATTTGAGTAAAAAATTCTGATTTAGCAAGTTGCTTTTTTCTGTGAAGAGATATTCAAAAGGTATGCAGTGCTACAAAACCTCTGTGGGCTGACTTTAAACGTACAGTTAACTTTTACATTGGAAGACAAAAGTGGTGTCAAATTCTTTGATCCATTACATTAAACTACAAATACGTCTAAGGATTGCATGGACCTTGCAAAAAAATAAAATCTAGCAGCACTAGGATCTTTATTTGCAAACAAACCTAGGGATCTGAAGGAGTCACCCTGAAAAACAAACATCATCTGGCTGGTCAGTGGTAAACTAGCTGCCAGTGAAGCTAGAACAGACGTTTCACTGTAAGGGGACAGATACGGGAGCAACGCGGAGAAAGGCCTCACCTCACCACTGTCCAGAACAGCCATGGAGGAGGTCTGACCACAGGCAATGCCCACTACCCTCTTAATATGCAAACAGTTGGTAACCTTTCGAGGGGTTGGCTGATTCGCTGTAGATCCGGATCCCACCTGGCCACAGTTGTTATAGCCCCAGGCAAATACCTACAAGAGAATGGAAAAAGAAAAATGAATATTTAATATGTGCTCAATAGCTCTAAATTCTTTATATGTATTTCACTTATTTCATCCTCACAAAAATCCTGAAATGTGACCCACAGGGATGAATATGTGGAAACTGAAACAGAAAGGGTAAATTTCTTGCTCTGGGTTCCAAAACCAGTGTATAGGACAAGAGAAACTTAAGTCCAAGCACCTCACTATGCTCTTAACCACTGTGCTCTAACTGCGGCAACCATACGTATTTTTATTCTGGCATTCATAAGAAGTGAAGCATATACACACAAGTATCGGTGATGAAAAACATCTGCTCAACAGTATTCGTCGTTTTCCACAGAAATCCCCTCAAACCATACTGTGCTTCTCCCTGTCTTACCAGTTATCTTGGTTACTTTTTTCTCACTGCTGGGACAAAATATCTGACGACCAAAATTAAGGAAGGAAAGGTTTATTTCGCTTACAGTTTGTGGAGGTTTCAATCCATACTAGGCATGATTATAAGGCAGAGTGGCACGTGGCAGAGGGCTGCATCTCAGGGCGGAAGCACAGCTAAACCATCACCCACAATCATTCAACTCTAATAGCCTGCCCCAGGGCCGCAGGAGGCTTTGGGGGGGACACACAGACATAAACCATAACACCAGTCGACAACTCTGGGCCTTCACAGCCTTCCTGTGGCGACAGAGGACTATCATGCTGGGAACATCAGCTTAGTCCTTCGCCATAATGCAGGCATGCTCACAAGGGCTGGGACGTCTGTCGCTACAGAAATGATGCCTGAATGAGGCTCTTCTTAGTAAGCTCTGCTCTAAGTTCTCATTTGCTATCTGTCAACTTCAGGCAGCTTCCTTCCTCAACTGCACCTCATGCCCATTTTTGACCTATTATCTGCCATCATTTGAAAACCATATTTTTAATGAAGAGAAACGCAATTCTCGCTTAGTTAAAAACCAGTAACCAAAAAAAAATTTAAATAAAAAATCTAGCAATACAAATGGAGAACAAAACCAAAAAAAAAAAAAAAATCACTGTAAGTTAATTTCCACCTGACCCTATTAAACAGGATGAGAGAGAAGGAATTAGGAAAGCGGGTGTTGGCAGTAGAGGAAGTAACTTTGCCCAGCACTGACAGAATCTTTAAGACCTCTCTGGCAGTCTCTTTCCCTTGCCTTCAGGAAACAGTCCTCAGGGCCCTCAGTCTGGGTCTGTAGTTCACTTTCCTCCGTCAGCACTTTCTAAGTCCACATGTGTGATGCTGCCCAAGGCAACACAGTCCAACCTCGGCTGATGTCTTCAAAGAGTAAGTGTCAGGACTGTGAAACCAGCGTGAAGGTTCCTTTCACAGGTACAAAAGAAGTAACATGTGACCCTTTCCCAAAGCGTTTTCCCAGGAATATCTAGTTTGTAACACAAGTATGTAGCACAATTATCCCAAGCAGCATACGCTGAAGGTTAGGTTATAAACTGGCTGTAAATCCAGCCTGTTGTACAAATGAGCAAGATCTGCCTACCTTCAACAATCATTCCTAAGTACTTCTCAAATATCTGAAGTTCCCTTAATATGCCACTCTTTTATTTCAAAATGGGGAATATAATCTTAACTAATCAAGAAATGGACTAGGAAACAGTGGATTTTGGACCCAGAGCCTCTGTTATGTTTGGTTCTAGCAATTCTCAGCCATGAAGTCTTATCTCCCTGAGCTTTTTGGCCTTTTTATGTACCACCTGTCTTACTGGAACTCTAAAATGGGAACAATCTAGTCTGTGAACTTGTGCTTCAAAAATCATAGGGGGACAGAGAAATGACTGGACATAAAAAGTACGAAACAGAAGAAACCATAGCAATAGTCAACAGATGAATAATAAACAAAACACGGTATTATACACACATTGGAGTATTATTCAGTCGTAACAAGAGAATCCTGTCACATACTACAAAAATGGATGAACTTTGCAGATACTAAACAAAATAAGCTAGTCATAAAGCGACAAATACGATAGCATAACAAATAAAGTAGCTAGAGTAGTCAAAATTATGGAAATAACTCGGCATGGTGGCACACGCCTGTAATGCCAGCACTCGGGAGGCTGAGGCAGGAGGATTGTTTGGAGTTCGAGACCAGCCTGGGCTACAAAGTGAGCTCAAGGCCAGCCTGCAGTGCACCACGTGGGTGGTGGCGGTAACTGCATAACAATGTTAAAGTATTTAATGTCGCTGAACTGTGCAATTAAAAATGGTTAAAATGGGTTTTCTTTTTACTTTGTTGGTGATTTCTTTTGATGTGCAAAAACTTTTCAATGAGATGAGATCCCAGTTTCTTTGAAGTATTTCCCTTGCAGTTTGGGTTTGGTTCATGAACTCTCTCTTACCCCATGTCTTCAAGATTCCTACCTACTTTCTCTTGCAGTAGATTTAGTGTTTCTGTTGACTTTAGTTTAGTGCGTGGTGACAGACATGGGTCTAGTTTTAGTCTTTGGCATGTGCAAAGCCACTTTTTCCAGCACCAGTTATTAAAGACATAAGATAGCTAAGATAATTGTACTACTAATTTCTATTGGTTTATTGAAAGGAACAGTTAATGCTTAATTTTTCTTTTAATCAATCTTACATGCCTATATCTGGTAATCTGAACAACTACTTTGAAGATAACAATATGCAATATAACAACCACTGTTGATTTCCTATCATCTTGTTTTGAAATTCTGTATCTTTTTAATACTTTTTTTATTCTCATTAAATGAAAAAAAGAAGTGGTTAATATGAGGGCTGGTCAGGACCTGGGCTCCGCAGGGCAGGGGGCTGGTCAGTCAAGGACTGCAGAGGCAGGTGACCTCAAGGTGTGCCCTCTGGTGACAAGCATCAGGTCCCCAGAGGACCGTGGCTGACTGAGCTGCTTGGGGCTAGTGCACAGAGCTCAAACAGAGATGATGACAACAGGGACAGTGACGCCAACAGCAGCTGGGACAGGAGGACTTGTTCTCCGCATTATACAGAGGGAAACTGAGGCACCAGGAACAATGCTGATGTCGCCACACCTACTGTTACATGTGACATTTTATACATCAGCATAATGGAGGTATTTTATTCATTATTCTGCTCCAAATTAAATTGCATTAATTTTTTTTTTTTTTTTTTGTCTTTTCTTCCGGTACCAGGAATTGAACTCACGACTTTATGCTTGCCAGGCAGGCGTTTTGCCACTGAGCTAAATCCCCAGCCCCTGCATTAAATTTTTTAAAAAAGATGGGGGCTGGGAGTATAGCTCCGAGGTACAATGCTTGTCTAGCGCATGCCAGGTCCTAGGTCTGATCCTCAGCACTGCCAAATATATAAAATATGAAAGGTTAAGTTGGTAAATTTTATGTGCCTTTTATCACAATGTTTTGAAGAAGAACGAAGCAGCACACTTACCTCTCCATCAGCCGCCAGAGCCATTGAATGATGTGAGCCACATGCTACTTCAACAACCTGCTTGATCAAGAGATTGGTGCAGACTTGGATCGGGGCGATGCCTTGGTTGGTCGTCCCGTTTCCCAGCTGGCTGTATCCATTGTGGCCCCAAGCATAGACCACTCCATCTACGTACAAAGTGCAAGCAACGCATTAGCTCCAAGAGGAAATTGCAAGTCCTATTCTTTCTTTCCAGACTTTGCAGAACTTACCATCTTAAGTCTCGCTTCTCTTACATTGCCTCCTTTCTCTTTATAAAGTAACCACCAATGCGGGGAGGAAGGGGAGACAAGAAATAATAAAGGGGGTGGCTAGAAGTAAAATCTTTCATAAAAGGACTTAGTCTACATAGAAGATCAGCTTTGTGGTTTGAAGTCAAAGTTTACATATATAAAAATTGGACTTTCTAAATACTTTATCACAATAGCTTCTACGTCAAGTACCAAGCAAAAGGCAAAAGTCACGGGAAAGCCCAACACTAATGTTATCATCACTTTTCCAAAAATCAGGGAGCCTTGGAGGAGGTATGTATCACTCACAATGTACAGAGGAAAGAAGTACACTGTTCACAAAGGAAACAAAACCCACAAAGCTTCTCAAGAGACTATTTCAGTCCCATAAGATCTAGTTGATTTTTTCTGAAGGAGTCATAAAGCAATTATTTTATTATGCTCATTTATTCTGTGTCAGGAATTTAAACCAGGGACAATAATGATGGTTTGTCTTTACTACCCCATATGTGTGACCTCAGGCTGGGCATGGTGGTGCACAGGACTGTAATCCCAGCACTCGGGAGGCTGAGGCAGGAAGATCATTCGGAGTTCGAGTTCAGTCTGGGCTACAAAGTGAGCTTAAGGCCAGCCTGAACTGCATAGCAGGGCCCTGTCTCAAAAAGACAAAAAAAAAAACAAAAAAAGTGACCTCAAACTGACTGACATTATTAGGCTACATCTTCACTGACACAGTGACTATCTTGAGAAATTATCATCAGTGTACTACAAAAGAGACAGCTCTAGTGGCACATGTCTGGCACCCTGGCACACTGGGAGGCTGAGGCAGAAGGACCAAAAGGTGAAGAGTAATGTGGGCAAGTTAGGGACTTAGCAAGACCCAGTCTCAAAATAAAAGATGTTTAAGAAGTGCTGAGAATAGAGCTCAGTATGAAGACATGGGTTCAAGCACCGATACTGGAATAAAAAGAATACAGAGACAACTCAGGGACCTGCCAAATAGAAGAGCCTCACAGGCCAAGGATGAGGCAGGGAATGTATCTTCTACAAAGCCTCCTTCCCAAGACCTGTATGTGTTCCCAGTCTTTCCAGGATTCTGACAGAGGTAACTCTGTTTTGTGTCCTGTTGAAGCATCACTGTTTCATGCATTTCTTCCCACAGCCTGCCTGAGTATCCAGGGCAGGTCTTCCCAAGGGGCATGTTCTTCCCTTTCCCATGGTATCTTGACTTCTTAAGGTCAACCTACATCTGGTGAGCACAATATTCAAAAGCAACAGCAGAAATCCAGAGCTCTTCTTAGGTTGCTGGCTGCCAATATTCCCCAAACAACCAGGAGAAAGGTACTGCCACTCAACCAGTAAAATAGTCTGATTTTCTATCTAGAATGACAGCAGCCCACAGAAACTTGGCATTTTCTGGAAGGTATGAAGTCAACTGAGAGAGCTTCTAATATGTCCCAGGAGAGGTGTCCCCCACCACAGAAATGATGACAGAAACATAACAGGGAATTTCATCCTAAAAAGGATGAGGCTCAGCACTGAAAGAGAGGCAGTACAAAACCTGACAAAATTATCCATGATATTACGTGGGTAATTTACACCACAATATTATGTGGATAAGTTACAGCAGGTGAAATAAATGTCCAAGCCTATGAGTGTTTTAACTTCTGAAGAGAAATAAATACCATAAACTTGGAAAGGAAAAATGAATATTACAAAGACACAAATTTTTTCCTATATAAATTTGTAAACTTCAACAGCGCTGAAGTCCTTCAAATTACTTTCTAGTGCTTGGCCCAGCAGCAAGAAAACAGCTAAACCTACCAATTTTTAAGACTTATAAAAGCTAGTTACTTTAAAACAAAACTTACATGGGAAACGACACCATAAGCAAACAAAAAAATTAAATGCTGGGAAAAAATATCTGTAATTGATATCTCTAAGAGATAATATCCCATACATAAAAGAACTGCTGGAAATACAGAAAGGACTAAAAAACTTATAGAAACAGGAACTGAAAGTTCAGAGATGGACAGATAATGGCTCTTAACCACATGAGATGTTCAACTTCATTCTTGGAGGCACAGCGCAGGGACAGAGCACTTGCCTAATGGGCACAAGGCTCTCAGTTTGATCCCCAACTCCAAGAAAAAAAAAAGAGAGAGAGGGAAAAGAAAGAGGAAGAGGAGGAGGAAGAAAAATGCAAATGACAAGACTTAACACACAAGACTGGCTCCTATTCACCAAGGCTGACCTAACTACTACCACTGCCCGAAGTCTAGCGTGCCAATAGCAGGGACTGATGCTGGAACCTCAACACAGGACCTCCCTCAAGGAGACCAGCCGGCCACTTGGTGCCAAGCTGATCACAATTACAATGGACCCTTTAGATACTGAAAGGGGCAGCCGTTCCTGTTGACAAAAATCAACAGGTGTGTTTCCTGCCCTCAGGGCCCCAGCCAGCATCACCGAGGCTCAATGGCATATTTAACCCGGGGACACAGGATTCTCCCAGAACAGGGCCACAGTCCGAGGGGCAGGCCCTACAGCACAAGTGCAGCAGTGTGCGCATGCCCGTGGGGCTCATGGTTCCTTCACATACTGCATGCCCAAAGGCTGCCAACCAGAGAGCGCAGCGGATGCACTGGCCACAGGCACTGGCTAGGAGACAGCACCACCTAAGCACAGGATGCTGCCCAGCAACATGGCACACATAATCTACAGCAACGACCACTCCTCGGTGCTATGTTCCCACTAGCAGAACATATGGATCCAGGAACCAAAAATACATGTACAAATGGCCTGCTGACCAGGACCCCTTGAAGGACTTGACTTTCCTTTCACTACAATTCTAGGTTCCACACGTTTCAAAGTCTCAGTTCCACTAATGGCCACAAAGGAAGTCCTACTGAACTCTGAGCTATGGCTGCCAGGAACTCTAGGTGGCTCTACCTAAAATAATAAAGAGCAACAGGAAACAAGAGTCACAGTCCTGGTAGGAAGCGGCAGGACTGCTGCTGTAAGACAAGAGTGGAGAAGAATGTTGTACCCAGGTGGCACTTGGAGATCTTTTTGTGCATGTCTGCCCAGTAACGATGGCGAACAGAAGTACACAGCAGTCACGGCGACGAGGATTCAGAATTCTCACAGATGAGCATCTGGGTCACTCAATCAGCTAACCACACAAGCTGCTATTGTAAAACAATGTATATAATACACCTTTCTTCTCGTTTTCCTTGGAAAAGAGGAAAGGCTAACTCCAGCATGAGCTGACTCCTAATCCCAAATCCTGGGCGAGGGGCTCAAAAACCAGAGTCTAACTAGACAGGGGCATCCACTTCCCTGCTCCTTTACTGGCTACTCTGTCTCTAGTAGACCAAGGACTAAATTTCAGGATCACTTGAGACTTAAGAGAAAAATTACCTAAGGGGTTAACAACAGGGTAGGGGAGGAGAGGAAGGAAAGCAAGGAATGAGGCAAAGAAGTACCCATGCATTTGACCACTAAGGAAACTCAGTTTTGTCTTCAGGGCCTGGACATGGAGTTGGAGAAGTGGCCAGAAATAATTTCATGAGTAACCTTCTTTAATACTGCTTCACAGGACAAACAGAACTTCATAACCCCAAAGTCTGTACATAAAGTAATAATATCGAATGAATATTCAACTTTGAAGTAGTCACCAGGGGGGACTCGATGTTCAATTCAATGAAAGTATTCCTAAAGCACCCTTCAGAAAATACTGTACAAGCCAGTGAATCATGGGGAAAGGAACGTATATTTTTTACTCACTGTTATGGCTCATGTTCAGATGTCCCCCCAAAGCCTCACGCAGTCATAGTGGGGCTTTTTCAGAGGTGGCTGGATCTAGAGTGTGTGATGCTGGAATTGATTCATGCTGCAATGCTAGGAGCAAGGGCACTAAAATTAAGGGTGTGAGGGCTACCTGCCCTAAGTAGTCTGGACAAAATAAAAGCGACAGAAAGACGCTGTTAAGGTCCCTTGTTTGCTTGCTTTTGCTGTCTTCTGCTTGCCACGAACTGGTTCTCTGCAATACTCCTCTACCAAGCCACTCTGCCTGGGAGCCAGCCGATTATGGACTGAAACCTCTACAAACTGTAAGCTAAATTAACCTTTCTCCCTCTAACTTTAGTTGTTCAGTATTTTGTCTCAGCAATGAGAGAGAAGTAACTAAGACACACTCCCTCCCCAAATCCTACTGAAATAAGAAAAAAAAGGGAGAAAACTGTATAGACACTCAAGGACCAGGAGAACAGGAAAGTTGTCAACAAAACCTGGTAAGATGGAAAGCAGACAGGCGTGGAACGTGGGAACTAAGAGCAGATCAGAAAAAAATGGCACCTACATCTGCAAATGGAGGAGCCAGTGCCAGCCCGGGTACCCCAGAAAGACCCAGGGGCCACAAATGATAAAAGTTGCGGCAGCTGGTGGTCTCTCCGTGGTCCCCGGGAGAAAACAGCGAGAGGATATCGAAAATCAAGACAAGAGACGATAGGCGGGGTCAGGTGGAGTTACCACTTGCCTGATGAGCTAGAGGACTGACTCCAACAGTAGGGGCGTTTATTTTTTACACTTGCAAAGTAGTGTCATGAGAGATAATGTTGCCTAGAGACTAACGACTGTAATTGTCTGGCAGGATGCCCTTTTCAATACTGAGGTAGCTTGACTGCTTGACCAATAATCAGCTCCAGGGGCTCCCAACAAAAAGTCAAGGTGCAACGAAACAAGAAGCAGTGTGACCCCAAATCCTCATCCTCTCTCTGCAGGGTCAAGCAACCCCTCATCCTTTCTGCTTCTTATCTTATCCAGACTTCTCAGGGTGGGCAGCACTCACACCCTTAATTCTAGTGCCCTTGAGCCTAGCATTGTACCATGAATCA